GGCAGGAGGGGTGGGGAGGTATGGCGGAGTGGTGGGGGGCGGCCCAAGGGTCTGGGAGAGGGTCCGGCCCACGCTGCACCTGGGCTGGGACTGGTCCCGCCAGCGCAGGGTAGCAGGAAGCTCTCCGCACACTCACCGGACCTGGGCTAGGACTGGGTCTGGGGGCTCCCGGAACTCGGCCAGGTTATCTATTTCTAGCATACATTTTCTAAGGAATAGTTTTTCATTTTTAAAAAAAGTTTGACTCTTATGATGTGCTTGATGATCTGAAACATAAACATTTTTGCATTTTAGGATCATGTTTGTACCATTACAAAAGTCCCTTTCCGGGGGGCTCCTTGTAGTGATGCTGCAGGACGACAAGTGCCCTATAAAACGATCATGAAGCAAATAAACAGTTCTGTTTCTGGAAGCCAGTGGAATGAAGATCAGCAGGCTCCTTATTATAATTATAAAGTAAGAATTTCCACAAAAATTATGAACATTTATTGTTAGTTTTCCTAACTTTATATTTTCATGATTAGATAGTTGCTATTAAGTGTTTCTATTAGTGTTCCTTTAGGGTATAACATACAGATTGCTGTTTACATGAGTAAACCTGACTTTGAATCGTTGTAATCAGGAACTTTAGCTCCCTGGGGAGCAATTCAAATAATGCTAATTCAAGTGCAGTACTCTGCTTGTGCCACTTCATTTTAGATGATGCTATAAAAACACACATCACAAACAGGACTTCCTTAATAGTTAGCAGATAGGTTATGATGATTTGCTTTGAAAGGGCTTTGGACCAAAGTAGGCTATGGGATCTACAGGGCTGCACTGCAGAACAGCCTAAAGATTCTGCCACGTCTGTTATGGAGGCATGAAGTTGAGAGCAGATAAATCATCACTGACTTTATGATGAAAAACTATCATTTCAAAATTATTTCATAATTGAAACAAATAATGTTGAAAATAAGAGACAGAAAAATATAGAAGGAAATACAGTGAGTAATTAGCAATTCTGATTGGTAGTCTGTAATAAACAGGAATTGTGATGAAAGACACAAATTATATTTTTCATAATGTACCTTTACCATAATTAAATTAATTTGAGGAAGATTTATTTTCTTCAATAGTGATCTAATACTTATTTATAAAAAATGACCACAAAAGTTGACCACAAATATACTGTTATATAAAAGGTATAATATGTGCTTATATGCCTATATGTCAATTATATACAGGGCCGACCAAATAGCTCAGCAGATTAAAGTGCCTACAAACAGGCGCAGGGGCCAGGGGTTGATCCCCAGGCCTGCTGTGCTAGCCCTGCCCCCAGGGTGCACTGAGATGGCAATTGAGACTGGGCATGGCACACCTGTAATCCCAGCTCTTGGGAGGCTGTAAATAGGCAGATCATGATGAGTCTGGTCTAGTGGTGAGACCCTGAACACCCTGTAGACCCTTCCCTAAAATACAAAAAAAAAAAAAAAATTATATAGTAAGCTTTTTAAACTTTAGAATTGGAACAGTATTTATAGAACATTTTGGAACCATTAACATTACACATATGCATGTATGTATATGTCTATAAATATACACATATGTGCCACAACAAAGTACATTTAGCAAACACTAGATAATGTATGTCCCTCCTGGAGACTTCTAATATACATTACTACATTAAGGGATTTGGAAAGTACTATCAAGTGCAAGGTCCTGAGTTTGATCCCCTGAACAGCAACAACAAAAATACTGCAATATATAAGAACACTTAATTGTTTAACAAAGAACCTGTTTCATAACACTCTTAGATACAGATGAGGACAGTATTTCATGGATTTAGTTTGGTAAAGGTTATGATAGCCAAATACAAATGGTTTATAAGTATTTAATATGAAATAATGATGTACTACTTTTATTTTTATTATTTTTAATTTTTTTATGTATTTACTACAGGGTCTACAAGGTCTCACTATGTAGATTTGAGTCCTAGTTGATTCTCCTGTTGTCAGCCTCCCAAGCACTGGGATTACAGGTGTGCACCACCACCCAGTCTCAATCACTGGCTCAGCACGCCCTGGAGGTGGGGCCATCACGGCACAACAGGGATAGAACCCCAGCTGCTGAGCTCTGCCTAAGCAGGCGCTTTAGTCCGCTGAGCTATCTGGGCAGCCCTTGATATACTATTTTTAATAAGCTTATTTTTTCATTGATGAGATGAAGAAACAAATTAATTTTTAAAGAAAAATTTCAACTGATAAAAATTGTGTGTTTATGTTGTTCAAATAATACTTTGATATATTCATACATATAGAATAGCTAACTCAAGGTATTCAGCATATGTATTACTTTACATAATTTTTGTTACAACACTTAAAATCTTTCAGCCATTTTCAAATATATAATACACTGCTCTTTACTGTAGTTGTGACGGTATGTTAGATCTCACCTATGGAGTCAACTCTTAACAGCCTCTTAGAATCCTATCTGTAACACTCAGAAAAGGAGATACTTTCCTCCTCTGTTGTCATTACCTTTTGATTTGACTGATTTGTTGTAAATAAAATCATCTGTTCAGCTCCTAGCTAGGCATACTTCCAGAAACTGTAACAAACATACAAAAAGTATATAAGCCAATTTTAGCAAACCAGAGCAGTGATTTCTTCTTAACTTTGGCTGCATCTCAGAGTTATCAAGTGGTACTAACACAAAACAAACCACAAACATATATTTTGATTCAGTAGAGTTTATGTGGTATGTGGTCTATGAACCTGCACATTTCAAAAGTCTAGAATGATTCAGATAAATATCTTGGTTGAGAATTTTGTGATAGATCAAGAAGAGAATCTTAGGACATGAGAAAGACCTTAAATCAAGAACATTAGGAAGCTCATTTGTGTAATGCTTATTATTAGAAGTGCCATATCTAACAATATTTAGAGAGTATAAAATCATGGAATAATGGAGCATAAAAGTATTGTGTTATAATACTTTTTCTTGTATCATTTTTGAGTCATTAGAATTAAATTTTTTTCCCTTCTTACTGTACTTCAAATTTCCATTTTAATTTATTTTTATAGGATCCTGCTGGCCATTTTCATCAAGTATGGTATGATAACCCTCTGAGCATTTCTTTAAAGGCATCATATATACAAAACTCTGGTTTACGGGGCATTGGTATGTGGAATGCAAACTGCCTTGACTACTCTGGAGATGCAGTAGCCAAACAGCAAACTGAAGAAATGTGGAAAGTCTTAAAGCCAAAATTGTGACAGAGATGAAGATCTGCTGTCAAACTATTAAGATATAGAAAACTGACCTACATAAATAAATCTAGTACACTATCTTGAAGAGATAAAAAATTAATTTTTGTCATGTTGTTGTAAATAAAAAAGGATTAAAAAATAAAGAAGTGCTCTGATTGAGTTTGAAAGATATCTTTATAAAAAAATCCAGGTTTAAAAAAAGTATCCATGTACATAGTGAAACAAGTCAACACACTATATTAAATGTTTTGTAAGATGTTTGAACACTATAATTAGGAAAAAATTGCTTGCAAAATTTTAGTGTACTAAATTATTCCCAATGTTAAAATATATCTGTATAGGGGCTGGGTAGATAGCTCAGCGGAATAAGTGCTTGCCTGGCAAGTGCAGAGTCCTGAGTTCAATCCCTGGTACCACCAAAAATGAAATGAAATGATAAGATAACATACAATAAAATAAAATAAAAATAAATAAAATAAACCTTTATAAATCAACATTGATTAAAAAAATAAACTAACCTAAGTGGAGACTGTTTGCTTAGAAGAAATTGTTTTAAAACCTAGCCTTTGAGAGCAGTTTTTTTTGTATTTTCTCCAATAAATCTTAAATTTATTTTTATTTGTTTATTTCTGTATGTTTTAGGGAAGGGTCTACAGGGTATTTAGATTGGACTAGTAGTGATCCACCTGTTTATAGCCTCCTAAGTGCTGGGATTACAGACACGTGCCACCACACCCAGTCTTTAAATCTTAAATTTAAAGCATGCAGTATAGTGTCTCTTCTTTAGATTCACAAATTGATGAAAATAATTTTTCTGCTTCCAGACTCTATTATAATAGTATGTATGTTCTCTGAGGTACTTAAAGTCACTTACCCCTCCAGGCAGTCAATAAGAAAACAAAAGGAATGCAGAGAACTAAATGTACTCACAAAATATAAGGTGACTTAATAATATTCTGAATTAGTAAATTAGTGCCACCTAATATTTTCCAATTAAATTATTTTATGAGGTTTATCTACAAACTTTTTTACAATAGGAATAAATTGGTGTTGAGCTTGTTCAGTCATTTGCACTTTCTGTTAATAATGCTTTGTTTATGAACATTTATAATTAATTGGGAAGTTCATGGTTAAATTTAATATTTTGTTTGACTTTTAATTATCTAATGCCATTTTGTCAACTAGTTTTTAGTATAAGATTAATTTTATTCAAGGAATCTTTATAAATGGAAAGATTTCTCTGTTCTCCTTGTCAAAGCAATTAAGAACATTTTGCTGTATCTATATATTTAGTTCCCATAAATATATAAATTAAAAATACGAATTCTTGAACTCTAGATTTACATAAAACTGTTATTCTTGTACATTGTTCCCCATTTTAATAAATAATGATTCAGCCATGTAATGAGAATACTGTATTTCCTGTTTATATAATTGTTTATGTCAGGGTGGTATTAACCATCCACACACTAAGTATGCATGTATATATTTCTATACACAAACAAAATACTTGTGTGTATATATATTATATACATAAAATATATATGTATGTATGCTTTTTTATGATACTGAGCTACATCTGAAGGCCATCTTTTATTCTTTACATAAGATTTTGTTATGTTGCTAAGTTACCCAGTTTGGGCTCAAATTAGTGCTCCTCGTGCCTCAGCCTCAGGCGCTAGCATTACGGGACCACCACACCTGGCTAGTATGTAACTATATCTGTTGAATAACTTTTATCTTTCTAAAACAATCACTTTATAGTTCTAAATTTTTTATATTTATAAAATAAGTTTAAAAAATTTAAATTCTTAGATACTAATCTCTATAAAAGTGTATGCATTTTTTAATCAAGGTACAATGAAGAGATTAACTTTCTGTTTTCATGTAAATATATTAGTATTTAGTAAAACCATTTTTACTTTGTATGTAGTAGTTTTTTTTTTTTTTTCTTTTTGAAGGAAGGGTGTTTTTTTTCTTTGAAGGGTCTTCCTGGATAGTTCAGGTTGGCCAAGAACTCTCTATGTAGACCAGGCTGGCCTCAAACTCAGGGCAATCCTTCTGCCTCAGCCTCCTGAGTGCTGGGATTATAGGCATGTGCCACCATGCCTAACTGTAAGTAGATTTTAAAATCATACTGGCTCCTAAATTTTAAGATTATTGACAATATAATTATAAAATATAGCATTACATCATAATAGGTAATAGACTTGAAATATTAAAGATATCTACTACTTTCTGTTATACCTATCTCTAAAAAAACTGTAATACTGACATTAAAAATAAAGATAGGTAAACTTTATGATTTATATAAAATTTAACAAGGAAAATTATTCAAATAAATATCTAAAAATTTTGACAATTTAAATTGACATACCTAATAGAGGTTGAAAAGATGAACTAATTTTCTTCTGTCCCAGTTCAGTTTTCAGTGTTTGTAAATCTGAAACTGCTTGTTTTCTCATCTGTAAAAAGAATTACTTTTCTAAAAGGAACTTCATCATGCTCTTCCAAAGGTATACCACATTGTCAGTTTTTAAACTGCTTTTGTTTTTTCATTCCTTCATTCCCCATGGCTTACTAAAATAAACTTATATGCCATAATTCTGTTTAATAAGCATGCTTGTCTAACCAGGTGTTCTATGAGATAATTTCCTTTATTGGTATATAGGGAAAATACGTATTAAACTGTTCTAAAAACCTATTCTATCAAATAAGTAATGTATGGAAAAGAACCCTTTATTAAAGATCTGTTATACAGAAGGTGCTATGGTAGAAACAAAGTTGAATAAAGGAATTTCTACCCTAAGAAACACTTAGTGTCTGGTTGATAAACCTTGATTCATATTAAAAATAAATTATGTATTTATATATAATTGTGAATATAATTATATATTATACGTTATATTCACAGGAAAGAAGAAAACATTAAATGGTACTCCAGAGAAGAACTCAGGTTTGTCATAAAAATGACATACTAGAAAATTAAAAATATTGAAACTATACTAATTCACAAAGTCTTTTTGGTTTAAAAAATGTTGCAGAATTTTTTCTTGGACTTGTTATAACATGCATTTTTAAACAGAATTTAGTTTTTCTTTTTGCATTATTTTCAATCATGCTCTTTATTGTTAAATAATATTGTCAGCCCTGACTACTCTTATACTATCAACAACCAAATGAAAATACAAAAAGGCTTTATTTGAAGATGAATTTATAATCTAATTAGGAGAAATTACCTTAACTTCTATTATGAGTTTCATTTTATCAGTATCCAGTTTTCTCTTAAGTTGGTCAATTGCATGCTGTACTTCAGTGATCTGGATTATAAGGCAATTCTGTGTAAGATACAGGAAGATATTTATTTAGTATAACATCTGTACATTTTCATGGGAGGCATTTGGTACCTCTATGCAAACAAACTATGAAGTGGTAAGAAAACAAGAAATGTTATAATATCCTATTCTAGAAATAAACTCATTGCTTTGATATTATTATAGTTTAGGTCTAAAATGTCCCTCCAAAGTCTCTTGTGTTTAGAGGTGGAGATTTTGGAAGATAATTGCATTATGGCAGTTATGGGGGATTAATCCACAAATGGGTTCACAGCTGAATGTGCTGTTGAAAGTTGGGCTCTATTAGAGGAGGCAGATTACTAGGAGTGTTTTTGGAGGGTATATCACCTTCTCTGACTCATCTCCTGCTCTCTACCCCTTGTGTGAACAAGAGTTTGAATAGCCTTCCTCTACCCGTTGACCATTGCATTTTTGCTTTGGAGCCAGTTTACTATAGACTGAATCCTCTGAATTCACAAACCAATATAAAATTCTACTTTAGGTTATGTCATGTATTTTGTCCAGCAGCAATAAAGCTGATACAGATACAAATTATCACTACTTTTTACTTATTTCTTGAATTTAGGTACCTCTTTTTCATTACCCATTTATTATTTTTTAAAAAATAGGTATATGTAAAAGTTTACATTAGCATCATAAAAACCAGTAACTATTATTATATATTGTAAATTCAGTAAATAGGTTTAAGATATTATTAGTTCAGAAATTGACATGCATTATTGATTTTGACAATTTAAAAATATTTGACAATGGAACATTACATTTTATAAGGATTTTTTTTCTTTCTGTATTTTAGGGAAGGGTCTACAGGGTATTCAGGGTCTCACTACTAGATTGGACTCGTAGTGATTCTCCTGTAAACTCTTAGTGTTTACAGCTTCCTAAGTGCTGGGATTACAGGTGCGTGCCACCATGCCCGGTCTCAATCACAGTCTCAGCGCACCCCATGGGTGGGGCTGGCATAGCAGGCCTGGGGATTGAACTCCAGCTGTTGTGCTCTGCCTAAGCACATGCTTTAGTCTGCTCAGCTATCAGGCCAGCCCTTTATAAGGATTTAAATAAGGATTTTTTGGGTTTTGTCCAGAAAAACTTATGAGGTATAATAATCTCACTAAAGAAGGTTTTTTGTTTTGTTTTTTGGTGCTACTGAGGATTGAGCCTAGGGCCTAATGGATGTTAGGCAAGCAATCCCCAGCTCAAAAACTTATTTAAGAGTTTAAAACTGTCTTTGTGCAAAAATTGTTATGTTGAACTTGATAAACAGTATGATAAAGTATCAGTTATGCTTTTAAACAATAAACAAATAAAAATAAACTCATTATTTGAGCTTATTGGATGTTACATTCAATTTAATCAAAATAGTAAACTTTCAGTATTTCAACATGTCTAAAGTTAAATCTTTACATAATCATAATTGAAAATTTTTTTTAATGTTTTGCATAGTAGGATCAATCAAAAAAGTCAGACTGGAATTTTTTTGTTTTGTTTATTATATGGTGGAATAATAAAATAAACTTATTTAAGAGTCAAGAAAAAATACACTGATAGAAATTTCATAATACCTTTTGAACAATGGGCATTATAATCCCTAACCTCCTCAAAAAAAAAAAAAAAAAAAACTGTAGTGGACATTGTTAACCCCTGTCCCACTTCATCAAATATTTATCACATTGTCATAGTCTGGAAATGTGGCCCCGTCCTCACACACTGAGGTAGTGGAGGGGACTGCCTACTACATACATTTTTACCACCAAAGAGTTTAAAACTTTTAAGTCAGTGCATAGCATTCCTTGGTAATT